CACAAGTGAGAACACTAATCAAAACAACAAACACAATAGCAGTAACCAACACGCAAGTGCGCAGATGAAAGTAAGAAAAAAGTGCTTAAAAAGAGCAATGCATGTCTGCAGGAATCACTAACAACAACAAAAGTGGTTAATAAGTGATTAAAGAAAGATTAATAAATTTATGTCCGCTAAGAATAGATTATGTCCATTAAACTGAAGTGCGGTGTTTGCTTTTGCCAAAATTATCAATAAAATACCTAGATACAATTAGAAAAATTAAAGCTTATAAAAAGCGTCGCAATGCCACTAAAAAAAATGACTATTTATCAAATACAAAAAACAGACGAAAATTGTGGAATATTTGAATGTAAATTTTTAAAGATAAAATGCCAGAAATAAACTAATATAAATTGCAAAAACAAAAATTTAAACTAAAAAACTATACACAGGGACAAAAACAGGTACTCGGGTGTTGATTTTTTTTTAATACTCACAACTTTTTTCAAGTAAAATTTTGTTGGCTATTTTTCTACAAAAATATTGTCCAAGCGTTAGCAAAACCAAAAGAATCAAAGTCTCGGACTTTATACAAAATTTAGGAAAACTCAACAAAATTTTTAGAAAAATTTTTAGTTTCACCCAGCTTGAAAAAATTCCGTTGATTTTTGAGAGTTTTTTTGGGGTTTGCTTTTGCGGCTGTTTTAATTTAATTATGCAATTTACAAAAATTGGCATTGCTTTATTGAAATTTTGTTTCTAAGAATCTCCCTTATTTAATTTCATAAGAAATTCCTGATTACATGGAAAAAAGTGCAAAAATACGTCAGGCAAAAAAATTATTTTAAAAATCTACGCTTTTTTTGCCGCTTGAATCTAGCACATCATTATATTCAAATTATATAAAACTGCATACTCAAAAATGTTGTAAAGATAAAAAGATCGAAATTTTTCTGCAAATATATTGAATTTTCCTTAGTTTTTTATGAAGTTTGAATTTTTGATTTATATGGTTTTGGTTAAAGCTTGAACAATGTTTTGAATGAAAACTAATAAACACATTCTACTTGAAAAACTTTGAGAATATTTAAAGAAAATCAACATGTGAACACTTGTTTGAGTGACTGTAGCTTTACATACCTTAAAAAGCATACAGATTTTGTAAACAAATATAGCATTTTTGTAAGAAAAATTAGATAAAAACAGTTATTTCATACTTTTAAAGTTCCGTAAATTTTTTGCCGATTGGATTTTATTTGATTGATACAATTTAGATATTTAAAAAAAATGTAAAGCTTTTTCATGCAAACTCTTTCTAAATACTTTTTAAAAATATATTTTTAAATGGATAGTTAAACATGGAAAAGCATCTTCCCCTAAAAAACTATCCTGTAAAATTAATTAAAAAAATTAGTTAAATTTTCTACTGCAATGTTTTTCACAAAATCACTAGTGAATAAATTTTTTTTTCTAAACCATTAAAAAAATATCGAACAAGAATTCTTTTAAAAATGGCATCTTTATTTCTAATGAAAAAAGTGCATATACATATTTTACAAAAGCCTTTAAACTTTATTTTGTAGAAAAGTTTAAGTAAACGTTATCAATGAAAAATTCAACCCATTTTTAATTTAAATATCAAAAACATACTTGCGCTGACTTTTTAAATAAATATTTTGACAAACAATTTTTTTGCAAAACTTGGATTTTGAAAATTTTTTGGCAACAATTTTTTACATTTTCTGTTCCCTGATAGTTCAACTACACGAAAATAACTACTTTAGAAAGAAAACTCAATATAATTGAAATAAAAAGTTTTGAAAATATTGACTAACATAAACTAAAACAATTTAATAAGAGACCAATCAACAAATTTTAGAAACGGCCACCGATCTTACTTCTTTGGGCAAGTTTCTAGTGAATACCATAAAAATATTCTGCTCACATTAAAAGCTTTTAAAATTCTACAAACTCGTAAAAAAACCATCAATAAAAATAAACCTCCACAAAATATTATTCGACAAC